AATTAATTTGTAAAAACCAAAGATAGTTGTACGTTATATGATCATTATCCATTTGACCCATCTATTTTAAGATATGTTCAAAGGAGACTGGATTTGTGTATTGGATGGGTAAAGTAATTACTAAATCCTGGTGCGAAGATTAATTTTAGTCCTTTGGTTGTCTTTTGTTCCCAGTAGACTAAAACCAGGGAATGCTGACCTCCATATCCAGCTCTTTTTTATTTTTAGACTGAGTTTCACTATGTTGTCCAGGTTGGTCACAAACTCATGATCCTCTTTAAACAATGGATTTCCAAGCCGTCACTACCTTTTCATAGCACTGGGCATGGAAGCCACATGCTAAGCACATTGTTTTATCATGGGACTACACATCCAGCCTCCTTTAAGACCACCATCTTGGGGCAAGTTACTGGATAATTAACCTTAATATACGGATCCTTAAGACTTTCTCCATAGGCAGATGCTGACAATCAATTAAAAGTGTCCATGGGCATAAACTGTACCTCATATAGAATGAGAACAGTGGAAATGGATGGTAATGGAATTAGAACAGACTAAGAACACAATGTCTCTTGAAGAAGCAGCCCGACTCCAGTCTCACTATGTTAACAGAAACTAGTACCTGCCACTGGCTGACTCAAAACTCCATCAATCACTGCTGATTTTCTGTGCACAAAGGTTCTTCTAATCTAGTTCTAACCTATGTTTGCAGCCTTAGATCCAGTAATTACTCCCCATAAACATACGTTTAGGCTGTCCTGACCTACATGCCCACAGAAGTTTTATTCCTTTTCACACCTGCAGAGGAGCACACATCCGATTACAATTTCTTCCACGTGGCTGTAAAGCTTCCCAATCACACACCTTTCAATCGTCACCCTCTCTACTTTCACGTCAGTCTGCATCCTGTTGTGGAATTAATTCATCTCACTAGGAAGGACCGTCAATGGCAGTCCCAAGTTTTCAAAAAGTATTTTGTGGCCAGGCATGGAGGGTGGGGAGCCTGCCGATAAGACCGGCACTCTGAAAAGCTGAGGCAGGAAAACTGCAAGCCCAGCTGGGGCAACTTGGTGAGGCGCAAGTCTCACAAACAAAAGCACATTTTGTATTCAAATCTGTAGTAAGTTTACTAAATTAACAGTGTCCATCCAAGACGTGAGTTGTGGTGAAATAACAACCTGGACATACCCCGCAGCGAGTAAAGGGTCTCTTTTCCTTTGGGCGGATCTCTCCGGCTCGACTGGAGAGAGCTCCCACAAATTCGTTACGAAGACGCGACTAGCAGCTTTTTGGACTCTCCTCTGAGGAGAGCAAAACGCCCATGTTAGGCAGAAGCAGAAAGGCTTACCCCTCAGACCCACTGTGACCTCCTCCAGGACCGCTTTCTGAGGCCCCAGAAAAACACTTACCTGCGAGACCTCACCTCACCAGAAAGCGTACGAGCCCGCGGGAGCCTTGACGGTTGGCGCAGTTCCGCCTCCTGCCGCGCAAGGATTGTGATTGGTCCGCTACAATATTCCCCGCCCCCCCCCGCGGGGAGCGCACTCAGCTATTGGCCAATCCTCTGAGGCTGCTTTCGCTCAATTTGGAGCGCGCGCTCTGGGCTCCTCGAGGGAGAGACGCCCTCAGGCAGCATCCCGGACGTACCGCCTGGCTTGACCTTGGCGGTCCCGGGTGGCGCCCTTGTGCGATCTCAATTACTGAGGCAGCCCTCTTTGTCAGAGTGGAAGGACGAGCTAGGTTGGCTTAGCTATAGACAGGTACTTCCGGTTAAGAAAGTACCACACTTTTAAGAGTTGGAAGACTGTCTAAAAGTCATCTAGAGGGGCTGGTGAGATGGCTCAGCGGTCTAAAGCACCTACTTAGAACAAACTTAGCAAAACCCAGGGACCGCGGTTCAATCCCCCAGCACCACATGCCAGCCAGCCCCGCCCCCTGGTGGGCTGAGCTGGCCACACACACACACACACACACACACACACACAAATAAATAAAATTTAAAATAAATAAATAAATAAAAGTCATCTAGAGCGCCCTGGGAGCCGGGCCGGCACGGCAGGAACTCCGGCTGCGTCTGCCTAAACAGGCGCTTTTGAGCTATTTAGCCGGTCCTTTTTTCTGACGTTTCATCCCGTCAGTGTCTTTTTTGTTGTTGTTGTTTTGTTTTTTACTACCTTAACAGTAATTGTCTCAATAACAGAGATGTTTTCAAGAACTGAAATTGATTACTTTCCTTTTGGTTCTAAAAAAATCCTTTAAATGTCTTAAAAGCAGAAATTGTATTGAGTTTGGTGGACGGTGATCTTCACAAAACTAGCAAGTATCTGATAATATGGAGGGAAAATGAAAGAGAAAGTAAAAGGAGAGGGACGGGGAGGAAAGAACAAGGGAGAAAAGAGAAAAGTAAAAAAGAAAAGGAAAGAAGACTCAGCATAAGTCTAGTTTCTATTTGTCCACCAGAGGGAGGTATGTTAACTGATGAAAACAGAGGCCAGAATGAAAGAACCGAAAGATTATAACTGTCTAAGGTGTTGTTATTTTTAAAAAATGAACTATTTTACTATTACAAGTTATTTTTAAACTGTATATATGGAGAATTATTATTATTTGTGGTACCAGGGATCAAACTCAGGACCAGGCCCCTGAAGAATTATTATTTTGTAAACCTTTTTCACTTTATAACATGGCTTTGTACTTTTCAAAGTGCAAAAAACATTTGTAAATGGGCTTATTTGTCAAGATTTACTAACTTGCATATGAGAATATTTTCTTTACTGTATTTACTATCCTGGTTGCTTAATAAGATGCTTATATCAGTTTGTTCTTAAAGAGTTCTGGTTAGGGGAAGATATATTAGGAAAAAACTTATGTTATGGGCTGAGCTGGCCACACACACACACACACACACACACACACACATACTGAATAAATGTAAAAAAAAAAATTAAGCTCATGCCCCTTGGGAAAGTAATAATTTAATTTGGATTTGGCCAATTTTGGCTTATTTATACAATCTGAACCAGGTATTCTTATTTCTGAATGCAAAAATAATACTGTACAGTACTACCTAAAGAAGAGTAATATCATGGGTCCACTGAAATTTTACTCTGTTTAAAAAGATCCTCACTAGAAGACAATTATGTATGAAGTTAGATATATATATATTTAAATATATATGAAAATATTAAATTGGTGCATGAAGATTGCAAAAGGGCTAAGTTTACAGCTAAGTGTTCTTATCTAATTTAATATCAATTCCTTTTTATACTTTAGGGAGAATTCTATTTGGGAGTTTGTGTGCAGTTTTGAATATCAAGAAATTGAATTGTTTTGAATATCAAGAAAAGTTTCCATATTGACAATTTAGAAAGTAATCATGAAACACAAATTCTATAGTAACTGTAGACACATGAATAAAGGAAAAAATAATATAAATTATTTTATGCACATTATTATACAGTATATAAGATACTGAAAGATAATATTTATGAAGTATTCAAGAATACCCAACTTAAATCATACGGTGGATATATATGCTATTATTAAACTGATATTTTATATTTTCATTCATTTATTTCTTTTTAAAATTTATTTATTTATTTATCTGGCACAGGGTCCCGCTATTCAGCTCAGAGTCCTAGTGATTCTCCTGTCTCAGCTTCCCAGTGCTGGGATTACAGGCATGCACCACCATGCCTAGTTTCAGTGGCCAGCATGGTCCGCCCTGGGTTTCAGGGCTGGCACAGCATGCAGTACTGGGAATCAAACCTGGGTCCCAAGTGCTTAGACCATCAAGTTATCTCCTCAGCCCCCATTTATTTTTTCAATGTGATTCCCAGTACATTGCAGGGGAAACTGAGGAACAGGTATTTGTTCCCATGATAGAAGATAATAAAGTTTGCTTTTGTAATGCTCCAATTATTTTTCATATAAAAATTCAAAAAGATTAAAGAATCTAATATACATGTATGTTTTCTTTCATTATGGATAGCACATTTAATTATGTTTTGTCCAGAGTTAAGGCCCTAGATGGTATAATTATTAAATCAATCAGACATACATAGGTTTTACAACTAAATTTACATTAAATATAAAAACATTTCATTTGCTTCCTTAGGAGTTTGGGATGTTCCATAGTTTTCTGTGGATTTGATGAAAAGATCATGGATAAAAACATCCATTCTGTGTCATAATAAATTAAGATCCATGAAAAGAGTAGAGGAGGAAGAGGGGAGAAGAAAGAAAATTCATATTTGTTGCTAGCTGATTTATGCCAGGAATAGCACTAGGCATTCTTCCATTTATCAGTTAATCTACACGACTACCCTATGAAGTATTATTCTTACATTATGCAGAGGAAATAGGTCATTAGAAGGTCAAGTAATTATCTACAGATGTGAATTAATTTGAGCTTAAGTTTTTTCCATCTTGGAAGAATGAATGCATTCTTTCCGATACAGTTTTTTAGTTCCTAGAGTAAAATTACGTTCAAAGTTATTTATGTAAAACATGTAACAATATTTGTGTATGCTGTTTCTCCTATTTATACACATTCACATTTACTCTGATCAATATGTCACTGTAATCCTAGATTTAGAACCAGGACATGAATTCGAGTCTATCTCGTATTTTATGTGTAGTTCATTCCACTAGAAAATAGGAAATTTACTGCCCCTTTTCCACTCCAAAAGTGTAATATGATAATTATGGAGTCAACATTAGTTAGTACTCATAACCAGAGTAAACTACGATTCCCAAAATGCCCCAACGAAGAGGCTGACGCCACTCCAAAAGACACTTCCAACTTTGGGGCAAAGGTGACATCGCTGAGCTCGGCGGCGAAGGAGCGCGCTGTTTGTCCTCGCCCCCTTTCTGATGCATCTAGGGATATGTAGTTTCCTCATGGCTCAGGGGTGCTCCCAAGGCAGATGTCTTACTACAAGTCCCGTGATGACTCGCGGCCCGGGTAGGGCCTGCGTGTTGAAGCCGAGGGAGCGTGCGGGCGGTGCTAGTGGCGGGAAGAGTAAAGATGGCGGTGCAGAGGTCTCCGCCTTCTGCTCCTGGCTGAAGCGCTCTGAGAGAGGTGGCAGTGGCAACCCAAGTCGCACCAGCAGTCTCCTACTGGTAGTTTCGGCTGCAGCTGCAGGGAACTGGGGCCATGGCGGAGCTGGAGCACCTAGGTGGGAAGCGAGCAGAGTCGGCGCGCATGAGGCGGGCTGAGCAGCTGCGGCGCTGGCGTGGCTCGCTGACAGAGCAGGAGCCCGCGGAGCGGAGAGGCGCCGGGCGCCAGACGCAGACGCGCGGGAGCCCCAGGGTCCGCTTTGAAGACGGCGCTGTCTTTCTGGCCGCCTGTTCTAGCGGAGACACCGAAGAGGTAAAAAAGCTTCTAGCCAGAGGGGCCGATATCAACACAGTCAACGTGGACGGCTTGACAGCCCTGCACCAGGTAACTCCGTTTTTGGTCTTATGGTCAGTGTTTGTATTTCCCTCCACCTACTTAAGTTGTCATGGTTACTGGTGATTTGGTCCCCATGTTATCCCTGTAGATTAGCCATCTTCACTTCTGTCCCGTTGGTGTGCCTGTACACATGCCACTTCTGTACGCAGTATCTTTTGCCGAATGGCCTTTGCGAAAATCCAGTTTTCTGCCTGTGTGGCCCCAATATTGAACGTCTTTGATTACTTATAAAGCTCTATAGATTGGGTTAAGGCAGGCGGATCTTCAGAGACTACTCCTTTTGTTTTGCTGATTTGCAGCTTGAAAACCAGTTTGTATCTTCTCCAGGCTACAGCTCATAGAACACCCTTGACCTCATTGTTGTGTCTTATTTTCTTCCCGGCAATGCTGCCTTCTTCATGGTTTCCTGTGGAGAACTAAGTTTCTCAATCACTTCTGTTTGATACCTGTGGAATAGACTTTCCTTCTTTTTGTGAAGTGCCCTATAGAAGCCACTATATATAGCTATAGTATGTGGGTTTTGGATGAGCCGGTAGTTCTGTGTTTGATAATATCATCTTTATTTCTTTCACATATGTCTGTCACAATTCTGTCTATATTGACTGTCATAACTAACTCCATCCTATCCTTCCCATTGAACTTCAATTATTTTTCTTTTCCTGTTCGTGCAAAGTGAATGTGTTCACATGAGAATCCACTTCTAAATAATTCAGCTTTATGTTAAGTCACTTTCCTAAATATATTTAGCCAGTAGATTAAATTGCTCCTTACCATGTTTGCATCCTTTCTCCATTAGGTGAAAGAACCTTCACTTTTTATCCTTTTTTATCTGTTTCTTCCTGCTCATGCAGTGCCTCACTGAAGGTAGCAAACAATATTTGTTTAGTGCTTTGTCATTTAAAAATAATTTCATATTTATTATCTTGAGTCTCAGTACTGGTCTCCTGAAGTAGATGTGGCTGGTAATGTTTTTATTTTCATTTTGCACCTGAGGACCCTGAAGCTCAGAAAAGCTTTACTTGTGCAAAGTCAGATAAATTGCCTGTAAAATATGTTTCTCTCAGATTTATGTTGTAGCGCTGTATGTCCCACTGAATAAAGAGCAGAACATAAAGTAAGACAAAAGCCAAGAGAACCACATTAAATTAAAAACAATTCTTTTACAATGCTAAGGTTTGATCCCAGGGCACCTACTACTGAGATACATTTCTATACCTTTTTTAATTTAAAAAAATTATTTAAAAAAATTTTTTTTGAGACAGGGTCTTGCCACATTTTGCTGGCTGGCCTCAAATTTGCTATCCTCTTGTCTTAGCCTGTCAAGTAGCTGGGATTCAGGCATGTGCCACTGGGCTTGACATACTAAATTTTATTTAAAATGTAAAGTTTGGGAGCTGGAGAGATAGCTCAGTGGCACAGATGCCTTGGCAAGTGCAAGGTCCTGAGTTCAATCCCTACTCCCCCCCCCCCAAAAAAAAATAAAAATAAAATGTAAACTTTAAATTTCTGAACTCTTTGCCAGGCGAATTTTTATTGTTCAGAAGTATCCAGGATAGAGAGAAGACTGAGATTTGTATTCTGGAAATTATTTTATGGGTTCGTGGAATATAAGAGAAGTATAATCCCTGGTTTTCTAGTCCATGTATCCTTTTTCTGGAATTGCCATTATGTGAAAGCACTATTTTCTTACTGTTACTCAGTGACCTTGTTTCTTTTAGAGTGACTCTGCTAGTTATGTCTGGTTCTTCCCATACACATTTTAATGTCAGAAAAACATTCTTTAACCTCACTCATGTTAGGTCTCTTCCCATTTATGGTAACTGCTTTTCTGTGTCCTTCTCCTGAGATGACCACCTTGGCACCTTTCCTTCTTTCTTAATTATCCCTAACTGTGATGTACACTTTTATGTTTAATATTCTTTTGTAATGGAATGGAGGAAAGGGGCTAACAGCTGTGGATTTCTTTTTCTTTTTAACTATCTATGAATATGATAGAGACACTTCTTCCCATTAAGACAGCTGGCAATGAGTTGACTAGGTATACTTAATACTGGACAAATTTAGCTGAAGATTAAGTTGCTTAAAGATTGGAGGTAGAAACAATTTTCTGTTGAGAAGCAGTCTCTTTAAGTCAAGACAAGGGGCTTTTATTGCCTTAGAACTCTTCTACAAGCCAGTTTACAAAAAGTTACAGTGTGTTTTTCCATGATCTAAAGAACTCTTAATTATATAAAGATTATTTTCAAAATGTAAGACAGACTGGCACTGCCAATAGCTTAGTTGTCTAATAGCTGATTTCACCTTTTGTGAAATGAAGAGTGAACACTGTAAGTATCTGGAAAAAAAAATATCTGTTATATAAGCATGATGTGCATTATCTGAATGATTGCTGCCTTTCACTCCTTTGTTTTAACCATGACTACTTCTTTACCATCTGTGGATTGTCATGTTGGTATATTGAAAGTAACACCCATGCAATCTTGGGGGACAGTTTTCTCCTTGTTCCACAAAGTCACAGTAGCCAATTTGCACTGCAGGTTTTAGTGCCTTAATGCTGCATCTGACTTGGAGACTTTTCTTTCTTGGCAGCTTTTGCTAAGACCATGAGGTGCTTGAGTGAAAGTTAACAAGCTCCAGAAGTCCTATTAATAATACTTGAAAGAGACAGGGATCAGAATTATCTGAAAAGGTAGACAAGTTCTCCTGAAAGCCTGAGGTAGACTAACTATATTTAGTGGCCTAAAGTCCTCAATGAAAACAGGGACTAATCTGATTACATAACCCTGGAAAGCATATGTTTGCTTATAAAGAAAATTGCCATTTTATTTGTATGTATACCTTATAAAGAAGGAGTATGCATGTTAATAATTTGATGTGGTCTTTTAACATTCTTTACTTAGTAAAGATTATTCATAGTATTATGATCTTGGGTGGCAGGCCCATAATACAGGCTTTACTGATATTATCTACCAAATTACTGGGTTATTTTAAGAGCTTGCTTTTCAGAAGGCAGATTTTCTAGAATATGTTAAAATGAGTGCCCACATGTTCTTACAACGTATTTGGCATTTATATCTGTGTTAGATGTGGTGAGATGTGCTGATGTCAGCCCCATCTTTTCCATAGTCCATGCTGCTCATAACTGTTTAGAGAGAAACCAAGATCAGAGTAATTATGTACTTGACATAGTACAGTTGGCCTCGTAATGGTCTCAGGATCCAAGTTTGGTCGCTCAGGGTCACCCCAGACTGAAATTCAATGTGTAATACCTTTGTCATTGGCGAGCTACCTCAGTCTGATCCTGCACCCTCAGGGAGGTTAAAATTACATATATCGGTAGAAGATAGGTAGAGATAGGTGCAGATGAAGAAGGTAGATAAGGAGAAGTAATTTATATTCAGAGTAAGACAGAAGAAAACTAAGATGACATGTTTAGTTCAGTATAAAACTTGCATGGTAAAATAAAACTTCCATTCCTTTCTCTTGGATTCCAACTTCATTACCTATACCTATGTTATTCTGTGAAGTAATTTTTGCTTACTCTAAGTATTGATTTATGCTGTTTAGTGTCAGGACCCATGCCAGTCAGCCATTCAGAAGATCCTATTGCCTCCTTAATTATTGGGCATCTAAAACATTTATCCCTCCTGATTCATCCTAGTACCTTGCCTCTTTAAATTGGCTAATAAGATGTATCACAAGCTGTTGGGCACTTGGCTTGTTACTGTGTACATATTTGTACCAATTAGTTTCTGTCCCATAGTAGACCTCAAAGCCAGATTTAGACATTAGGCTTTTTGATTTAGGGGAAAGTATGGATGCAAGTGACTTTCATTTGTTCCCTAGCCAAATTATTTTCCATTCTTAAAGTCCTGTGAGTAGCTATATACAGGCATTCAAGCTTTTAGAATCTTTTCTGTGAATATTTAAAAATAGGTAGACTGTCAGTGTATCGTGTATCTAGATTAAGAACAACTCCACTAGATGTAAGAAGGTGGGTAGGTCTTGTTGATAACGTTATTTTCAGAGAAAAGAAGGAAAAAATGGAAATAGAGCTTTTGTAAATAGGGAAGGAGGTGTTTGAAGGGAGGGTAGGGGAATGGGAAAGAAAAAAGAAGTTGTATCATGTACAGGTACAAATTCTCTATGATGATGGTGATCATTGTATATACCTAAAAAGTACCAATAAAATCTGATAGGAGATAAATTATTTTCATTTTAAATATTTAACATTATCTTTTTGCGGAACTGGGGATTGAGCTCAGGCCTTTGCTTGCCAGGGAAGTGCTTATTCCACTGATCCATCTCCCTGGTCCATCATCATTCTTATTATTATATTTTATTGCTTTATTTTTATGGTACTGGAGATTGAACTCAAGGCCTTTGCACTAAACTGTATCTAGCCCTTTTTAATTTTTTATTTTGAGATGAGGTCTCATTAAGTCTTATCTTGCCTAGGTTGGGCTTGAACTTGTGATCCTCCTGCCTCAGCTTCTTAGAATCCTGAGATTTCAGGCATGTACACCACACCTGATAAATATTTAAAAACATGGTGTAACTTACATATGGTAAAATTAATTTTCTTAATTATGAAGTTCATGAATTTTGACAAATTGTTGTATAACCTCTATCACAATTAAGATATACGTTACCATTGCCCTCATGATTTCTTTGTGTTTCTTGTGTACAGCCCCTTCTCTTATTCCACATCTGTGGCAACCATTCATCAGTTCTCTGTCCCTATAATCACAGTGCCATATAGATGGAATCATATAGTATGGAGCACTTTGAACCTGGCCTCGTTCATTTACCATTATGTATTGAGATTCGTCTGTGTTGTTGCATGTTTCTGTATTTCTTTAGTCTTCATAGTTAATTGATATCATTTTCATCATATGAATGTATCACAGTTTTATTCATTCACTGGTTGGAGGACATTTGGACATTTCCAACTTTTGCTAAAAATAAATCAAACTGCTATAACCATT